TGAGGTACAGCATTTCCCTTATAGCTAGCTAGAATTAGCATGCTACCATGCTAATTAAATGAAAACTGGTAACACCCTGGTGACACTGACTTTTTCAGCAGGGCTAACCTTACCTTATTGACAGGATTTCCCTATAACTTATGTGCCTATTTTATACAGCCCATGCACGCCTTTATTTCCATGGTGTTTCATCTCTTGCACAAAACAATTAGTCATATAAAAAAAGGTCTTGGCACAGCTCAAAGGTGGTATAAGAACCAGTTTCAATCTGGAAGAATGGAACAAGCCCACGCTCACTAACAAAATGGAGCACCTGTTATGGGCGTTGGAGGTTAAACCTATCTCGAACTTTAGTCATAACAAGTCAATAGTCTCAGGTTAATCACACTGCTGTCTGTTATATCAGTGAGGCTTTCCAGTATGAAGTATTCACAATACATATTTACTTAAGTACACATACTTAATTACCTGCATTTTAAAAGGTTACTTGTGTAAAGGGTAAGGAAATTAGCAGGGAAATGTATTTAAAGTATGTATGCAGAATGTACCCTTTAAACATTAGACATAAGTGGGTAAAATTCAGAAAACTATCCATTATTTAGCATGAAAGAGACAGACAGAAATCATACAGTAAGACTTTAATCTTTGTTTGTGGCACACCGGCAATCCTACAGCAATTACCTCAATAAAAAGTATTTTTATGTTTCCACGCTGTGAAACCATTTTGTGCATAAAACAGCCGTGTCACGGCTGAAGCCCTGTCACCAGTGTTAACTGATCTGCCTCCAGTTAATTGTGTTATGTGCAGGCATGTGAACAGATAAGATTCAGAGGGGGGTGGGGGCTGAAACGCGGCACCTTTTACCCTGACACTTTTTAAAGACCCGCCCCAAATGTCCTTTCATGTGCTTTCTGGTTTCGTAATGGTTTACTCTCGGGGTCAGGCGTTCAAAAACACACCTCGGTTTAAGTTCCTGCATATACTCTGCTTCTTTGACCTTATTTTCACAAGTCTAAGCATGATCCTGTATTTGTGAGATTATCTTAGGTGTGCTAAATAAATACTCCCAGCACAGATACTGATAACTCTCAGGAACATTAGTATAACCTTCCAGAGATTAGTACTTCTGTAATTTCTCTTTCAGCCTTTTACACTTATTAGCACTCCTTCTCTTTTGTATGAAAGGAGAACTTGTTGTTTCATGTGTTGAGTTCACTCACTGACTTTTTGTGAGACAACAAGCAAGCTGCAGTTCGCAGGCAGGTATCTCTTTTTATAGGGCGTCCTCCTAGACAAGTCAAAACTTGAACAATGGGACGTCGTTATGCATGTCAGCCGAGGAGGAATGCTGGAGATCTGCCGGTATGTGAACCAGGGCAATTACTCTCATATACGTCAGCTCGACCGTGTCTTCGGCAGCAAACCTGTAATTTCCCAATTACTAACCCTCATTGAAACTGCTTTGATGGCATTGGTAACACCGTTCTGTTCATCTCTGACCTGTTGAACCACAAACCTCTTAACAAGAAAAAAAATAATGATTTAGAATCTTTTCAGAGATCTATTTTATGCAAAAAGCTTGGGGGGTTAATGATGGTTAAAAGATGCTAAAAAAACATTAAGGGGGTGATTAATGGGTAATTGATGTCATGAATAAAATGTTACATTTGGTGTGTCATCCATAGTGGCTCCCACAGGGATCCTGCGTGGGAAATGAGGGTGACTTTAATGTCCTGGTATTTAACTTCCTCAAACTACAAGTTCCCTTAACTAGTTTTAGAAAGTCTCTATGATAGGAATTATAGCGTAAACTAGTATAACTATAGCAGGCTCTTTTGATGTCACAGATGGACACAGATTGATTAAAGAGGCCCTATTGGGGGCTTTCCCTTTCCTGTAGTGTAGTGCTTTTTGTGAATGTAAATGGTTTGCAAAGGCTAAAATCCCTGTTCTGGAACATAGTGACATCACATTGTAACACTTGCACTTCTACTGGCTAGCGCTCCAACACATTGCACGTGATTGGCTTAGGGGCAAACGTCTCTTAGCAGTTGACCAATCACAAAGCCGGCCAGCTAACCAATCAGAGCAGACTGGGCTCTGGTTTCAGACAGAGGGTGAAAAGAGGTGCTGCAGCACAGGCAGTATGAGAAAAATAAAGAGCTTTTTGAACATTAAAGCATGCAGACATGTCACAGTAGAGAAACAAAATAGGACCCCTTTAAAACTATTTAATATAGAAAAAATCAGAAACCCTTTGTTCTAAAGCGGAGACATTTACGTTAGGGACATTTTTTATAAATATCGTAACACTCTCACACACACAACTGAAACCAAAATAATTTACAAACATTTGTGAACTTTTCCCATTTCGCTATTCACATGTTAATAGGAGAGTGGTATTTCTGAATAATGTCCCGAACGGACCCTCATATTTACAGTCTTATGGCGCGTTTCCACTACAGCGCGGAGCACGGTTTAAGAGGGCTGTGACGTCAGCGGCCCGTCTTTGGTTGCGTTTCCACTTGGCCTAGTACCGGCCGGCGGGTCCTAATTCACAGTTTTTCTGGCCTCATAAAATCGTGGGTCTAGGGCCAGAGACAACGAGGCTGAGTCGGGCTGAGTATGCTAAACTAGAGAGAGAATCGCTGGCAAGGGGGCTACAACTACAACAAGATGGACATATTTGACCGTGATTTAATTGTAATACACGTTTCAAAATGATGCCGAAGTAACAACATACTGATACCGGTTAGTAAAAACCATGAATTAATGCTTTGTCAAGTCTGCAGACAGACGGCAGGCGAAAAACCTTTTAAAATGCGTGTTTTCTAAATGGAGATTGGCTAAGCTAACGCAGTATATGCTCCGACCGTCCACACTCACAACAACGGCCTATCCAGACATAAATAAAGCAGCGACTGTATTCGCCATGACACAGGCAGTCTGTGGTTTGTACTTGTTTAACTTTTGTCTATTTTCTGAACAGATATGAGGAGCTGTGAGCTCTGAGGGCTAACAGCTAACGGCTGTGTTGTTTTTCTGGGGTTCTCATTGAAGATGACGTCACGGCTCCGCCTACACTGCGTAGATACTACCCCAGTTCCTAAACTGTAATGGAAATGCGCCATAAAGTGAGCCAGTCCTAACGAGGCCTAGCCATACCGAGCGGGGCCGAGCGAGGCCGTGTAGTGGAAACGCGCCATTACAGTGCAGATAAAAGGCAAAAATAAAACATTTAACACAGAGGTAGTAAGAAATACGTAGTAGTGTACAAAGGTTATGAAACATTAGGAGGTAATAAAGAATCCCTGTATTGTTTCACTTATATTCTGACGTATGTAACTACGTGGCAGGTTTGCATATCGTCCCAGCCCTTAAGAGAGATCCTCTCTTTAGAAACTGTTTGGTTGAGCAGGCTTGTCTGCACACAGCGAAACTGACGCCGAAGGCAGTGCAGCGCAGCCAGTTTGCTGAAGAACTGCTTCTGGTAAAACAGGGAGGAGGAGCACAAAGCTGACTCAGTACGCACTGTCAGTAAACACCTCACTCCTCTATGGAAAATGTGACTGATCAGCAGCACAGCTCTAATGCATTTAGAGAGCAATAAATTCAGCATCAAATAGATTACTCATTCTCTTTTATATCTGCTTTTTGTTTTGTTAGCAAGTTTCCTGTTCTCACGTGAAACAATTTGCTGATAAGATATCAGAGTGTTTCCAAAGTAGTTTCACCCTTTTACAAGAACTTAGCCAACAAAATATTGAAATGTAAAGATTGTGCAATGTTTGAGAAAGATTATTACACAATGTTCCACAGTAAAATGTCCTCATTTGCATTACTTATTTACAGGGTCAAGTCCTTTTACTTCAGATCAGTATTTACTTTTATGGTGCTTTATTTGTTCACTACAGTTAAGAGATACATGTTGTACTATTTTCTCCACATGTATCTGACAGCTGTTAGATTAAGATTGACTTGATCACAGATGCACATAAGGCCGTTCCAATTAGCTCCAAGTTAAAAACACAAACACAAGGTAATATTAAAATAGAAATATTTGTCAAATACAAATTTGGTTTGGTTGGATTCTCAGTACTTGTTTTTTTAATAATGGGGCCATATTGCTTTGATTCTAGATCAAATTGTGCCTAACTCATCTCTATAACCTCCAGAGACGCACCCATTCATTTTTGTCCTCTGTGGAGCACATTGGGTTTTGGTCCATTACTTTGAGGTTATACATGCCACAGCATTAAGTCCAAGTGTACTCCACAGAGGACATCCTGGGCTTTTCAAACATATGACATATGTGGGGGTGTGGCTTTGAAAAAGATAATTTTATTGTATTTGAGAAATTTCCCCCAAAAATACAACATCTGTATATATTCCATCTACTTTGTTGCATGTAAACATGTGTTCCCACCTCTGATGTTATGACATTTCTTGTTTTTTACTTAATTTAACAACAGTGTCCACAACAACATCAGAAAAAGATCCCATCCATGTACTGAGGCGTAATATATAAAAAATATAAATAAAAATAAGTAATTAAATAAATAAATACAAATATAACAGATAAATAATTAAATAAATGAAAACGCAATAACAAAAATATATGTAAATAAATAAAAATAAATACATTGAATTTAAAAAAAAGTGGTCATAATAAGAATCCAATAAATACGGGAGAGATTTTGAGAAAAATACATTTATGAATGTGATTTTTGCCAATATAATCAAATAATTATTTTAAATTCAGTGTTGTTTTTGTTCTCCTTTTGATTTTATATTATCATGTGTTTAATAAATGGTGTTGTCCTCTCGTTCAGTTCGGTTTTTATACTTCCGGGGCCGGTCAACAGGCCCCCCGAGGATCTCCACCATGGGATCTCCACCCCATCCCCCCAGCAGCTCTTCCGCTCCCCAGCCGCCTCCCTCGCTCTGAAGCCCCGCCTGAGAGCAGGTTACGGGGCGGGGCCTGGCGCTGCGGAGCCGGGGAAGCGGAGCGTCTCTCCACACAGCTGTGCCTCGCTCTTTGTCGGTCTGCGCTCCTCTCCTGCGCCTTTCTATCCGGTACAAGGATACAAAGAGAGGGACATGTGAGCGAGCAACACGAGGAAGCATTACCGGACTAGCAGAGTCCAGACACGGATACTTTAATCTCCAGACTGGATACGGAGCTCCGCCGATGTACGCACTGGATTTAACGCAGAGAAGAGTGTCGAGAGCAGGGGGAGAGGGGCGGACTTTGTTGCGCAGGTAGGTTTTTTTTCGTCTCGTTGTGTCTGAGAAATGTCGAAAAGGGGTCCGGTGGAAGAACTGCGCTTTAAAAAAATCGCTCTGCGTACTGCGGGGCTTCTCTATGCGGGTTTTAATGCGTTTAAACTCCGTACAGATTGGCTAAAAAAGTGTTTGTTAGCTAGTGTGTTGAAATAAAGCTCCGGGGTGCCCCGTTTATCTTTTGTCGCTGCTCCGCCGCAGTGCCTGTTGTCTGTCTGTGTGTGTGTGTGTGTGTGTGTGTGGGGGGGGGAGAGACTGTAGCCTACGTGCAAACTTGCTCGGGCAGCGCTTTGTAAGCGGCACGTAGACGGCAGGGCCCGCGTATCGGACTCCCGTGATCAAAATATATGGTCCCTGGAGAGGGGGGGGTTTTGTTACAGCGATGATTTTATCGCTCGCTCGGAGGCGCAGCTGTAATTACAGGCATGACGTTAGAGAGACCAAACACACACCAGAGAGAGTAGCAGCGAAAGACTCAGTCCCATCAAATATTCACATTTTTTTTAAATCATTTTAATCTGAAACTGGTGACTCTGGTCTCAAATTCCCTACAGCAGGATTAGGTCATATTTATTCCGCTTCAATTACCGGCTGCAAGTAGCTTCATGAACCCGCTCCTCTCCAGGATACACGAGGACAGCCTGATGTGTCTTTAATGTGGCTGATATTAATGAATCCTGCGGGTCATTACGGGATAAGCCTGTTGGGGCAAGTACTCGGATCCTTCACTTTAGTAAAACTACAAATACTATGCTATTAAAATACTCCACTACAAGTAAAAGTCCTGATTTCAAAATGATACTCCTGTTAAAGTAAAAAAGTATCGGCAACTAAATGGACTTGTACAATAGTACTCATCCTGCACAATGTCCCATTTCAGAATAATTAAAAAGACAGAAATATTATCATCTAGTTTACTCGTTATGCAACATTGATCTTTTTATATTAGTATTTTATCCTGTTTTTATACATGTAATAGCATGATGGTTTTCTCGATGTGGACCAAGATACTTGAAAGACTGTGTAGACTACTACTGCATTATATTATATCAGCATATAATGTGTTTTTATATATAGTAACTGTGAGTGTTAAATAAATGTAGTGGAGTAAAAAATACTATATTCGCCTCTGAAATCTAGTGGAGTAGAAGTATATGAAATAGAAATACTCAAGAAAAGTACAAATATGTCAACAAAAATACTTGCGTTAATTGACTACTTCCCACCACTGGGGATCAGTGTGTTTGTTGTGCTCTGAGGGGTGGAACTGGTTTCGTTTCAGCATAGATACTGTTTTCCTTTCCAGGAAAGGAAAGATGAGTGTTCACATTTATTTTTACAGCAGACCAACAAACTATTAATCATCGCTTTATGCACTGAGATGACTTCACCTTGGAAACTAAGATTATTGGATTATAGGTGCCTGTATCTTTTTATGACCACCTCTCCTTTTCTTTCTCTTTCCTTCAGGACGGTCAGGGTATAAGGAGGGCAACATGGATACAACTTTGCACATTCTCCAGAAATCCGCAGACGGTGTACTACCGACTGGGATCTCCCTGGATATGAGTTTAAACATGGACACAGGGGAAGACTTTACGGAACAGCAGATCGTGGGGCTCCCGGACAAAATACCTCTGGTGAAACCTTATTTCAAGAAGAAGCAGAGGAAATTGGACGCCAAATGCCTCCACCGTGCCCTGGAGGATCCCATCCTGACCACGTTACTGAGCACGGACGCCCTGGTCTCCGGGGACGGGGTCTTTGTTCCCCGGAACCATCCAAGTCGGACTCCAGGAAGCCTGTGTGCAGCGGCCGTGGTGAAGCAGACCTGCATGGCCCAGGTATGTCTGAAGTCCCCCGGAGCCCCTGTGGACGCCACCTCTGGGGCTGGGTTATTGACCCGGGACGGTGATGTGGAAATAGCCGATACTACTGCAGAGCTGGAGGAGACAGAGCGGCGGGCGGAGCGACCCAAGATCCCGGATCCCACCCCCCCCAGCCCCTGCTTTCAGCCAAAACTTGGCCTCAGGGCAGCGGGGAGCTCAGTGACAATACCGTCCCCCGGCAGGGATATACGCCCCTCAGTTGCAGCCCAGGTTTCCCACCAGGAGGGGAGCATCAAAAGCAATGACCTCTTAACCTCTGGGGCGAAAACCCTTCCGGTCAAAGACTGCACCCAGGGCCCCCAGGCCCTCCTCCTTCTGCTGCCTGACAAAGGCATCCTATTTGAGGATAAGAGTGAAGAGGCCTCCCTGGACCTGGTGTTCGAGCTGCTCACTCAGCTCCAGTATCACACACACCAGTCAGACTCTGTGGACATCTGTGTGGATTTCCTCCAAGGACTGTGTGTGTACGGTAATGACTGTGCCCACCATCACACCGTGCTGCCGTACTACTGGCAGATCCGCAGGAGCTGCACCCAGATGTGGCAGAGCATGGCGGACGAGTCCCAGGAACAGCTGGAGAGGCTGTACTGCAACCCGGACAATGAGCAAGTCAGGCTCAAGTTTCAGTAAGTGCCCCGCTTCATTGAAACCTGTATCACTCTATATTTTGTTTATCTATGTTTAGATATAAGATCCTACCGTGGAGGGAAGCAGCTTTTCTGTTTGCTGTCTGTACCTGTGGGCACGGGGTTCATTCACTTTCAATTCAATCATCTCAAAATGGGAACTGAAATCAGAGGTGGAAGAACTACTCAGCCTTTTCACTTAAATAAAAGTAGTGTTTCTACATTTTACTAGTACAAAAGTTTTGGCATCACAATATACTTAAAGTAAAAAAATAGAAAGTACTTATAGTACAGCCCATTTCAGAATCATATTTACGAAATGACTGGATTGCGTTCATCACAGCTGGTAAAGGTTGTTTTATTTTTCGTACAAAACAGAATAGCTTTCCGATATTTTACAAAATCATGTATTTTCTCGTGCATGTGCTTTTAGATTTACAAAGGGACCTTAAGATAAATGTAGTGGAGTAAAAAGTACAATATTTGCAGTTTAAAATTATATTCTAAAGTACAAATATGTGAAGTGAATATACTTTCCATCAATGGTAAATCCTGCTGAAAAAGCTACTGTGTTGTAAATTGATATAGGGACATTGTTGCCGTGTCACAAGTACCCATCAATTAACAAATATTTGACACTTGTGACACGGCAACAATGGAGCAGTAAGCTGATAGGCTGCTGTGAGCGATAAGCACTTCTGGTTGTTGGAAACAGTAGACCTCAGCCGGCTTCCTCTTTGGTTTCACCAACGCCGACTAACCTCCCAGCTGTTCTGCAAACCTGTGTCTCGTGTCACACTGTATTAGTCTATTGATCTCCCTTGCGTGTGTGTGTTTTGGCTTTCTTGTAGTTAATGTTCAACTGACATGCATTTTTATTGGAACCGCTTGTGTGTTGTCACGCCACTCCATCTCCGCATATTTACCAGTGGTGAAAAGTAACTTAAATACATTTATTCAAGTTCTTTCTTGACATTTTTGTACTTTACCATTTAAAGCTACTTTATACTTCTTGTCAACTACATTTAAGAGGCAAACATTTTACTTTTTACATATGCTATGATGATACGGTATAATGCAGTGCTATACTACTAATAACCACACTATTAAAAGTATCTACATTTGTCCACACTGAGAAACTACAATGCTAAAAGGCTCTTAAATTATATTAAATAATACTATGAAAAGATCAATTCTGCATGATGAGTGCTTTTACTTTTGATACTTGAAGTACGTTTAGTTTTGCGTCTACCGTGACATGTTTACACGCTTTATCATGTTCATACCCCAAAAAGCACAATAGGGCCTCTTCAAGTAAAATGTTAAAATCAGTACTTTTACCTGTAATGTCATATTTTAAAACCATAGTGTTTGTACTTTTACTTCAGCAAAGGATCCGAGTACTCGGTCCAACACTTCATATTTCTTATCTACTTCCTGTATCTCCCTGCTCCCCCTGTGATTGGCCGAGACTTTGCAGCACTCATGGCAGAGAAGCTGTGAACTTCCATGACCCCCTTGTTGCCTTGTGCGGTCACTGACACAGACGCAGTTGGCAGCTTCTCCCCTTCCCTCGGTCATAGACATGCACGCCAATGTGTACACTACACACACACACACTCACACTCACACACACTGCTGCTTGGCACGCAGAAGCTCGCACGAAGTGGAGCTCAGTGGCTTGCAGTGCTCACACGCACGCCTTTTAGCAGACAGAGATAAACCTCTCTTTCACTCTCTCACACACCCACATAGATACACACACATGCATGCGATTGAAAGCCTCAGTGGGGTGATATAAAGGAGCATGCACCACTTCCTATGAAACTGTACTGCAAGGCAGGCACATTCACACACTCGCACAACATGGAGCACCTTGTTATGAACCCTGGCTGCCTTATCGTTTATTCTGTTAATAATAAATGTTACGTTATCGTTAACCCTATCTTTAACCATGATGTCATGTGACCATGTTCATGGAAATCATACCAACTAAGGATCACTTTCATTAACAATTATTATTCTGAATATTTTCTCGATTTATTTTTTGGTTTGTAGCTTTATTCACAATCTTCTCAGTCAAAATAGTGCAACAACTCAGAAACATGGCACTTTACTATCTCATTAAAACAAGAAAGTTCTCAACAGAGCATGGGCATGTTGGAGCATGTTTTAAAAAAATATTATTTTGATGAATCCTTATAAAAATGAATTATCTCACTGTTTCTGGCTGTTGTTCGAGTAGTGTTTCCTGTTTCAATAGTTATTACAGTTACAGAAAGAGGTTGAACATACAGATATTTTTGGGCTTAACTCTTTGTTTTTGTAGTTTAAACTCAACAAAAAAAAATATCAGTTCACTATCCCACAAACTAGAGCATGTTTTGTTTTGAAAAAATTACTTTGAGGTAATCCATTATCAAATTGAGTTGTCTGCTTGAGGCAGTTACGTGCTGTTTGATTAAAGTGTAGCAGGCACGGCTTGAAGTTGTCCATTTTGATGATTTCAAGTATGATCTCTAATGTACTTTATTTAAATCGTTTTTCAAAATGCATCGTGTATCTCCAAATGGAAGTGTTTTTCGTCGTTGCAGCACGTTTGCACCTGCAGGCCACCGTACTAATGTAATCAGAAAAGATTTAACCCTGTCATAGTGACATTATCCTCTGAATCGTGTAAAGTGACAATGACACGGCGTTATCCCGTTATCCCCTCAAACTATCGTACACGTCTTTCAACTATCAATTCAATCAAATGGAATTGATATAACCCGGAATCACAAATCACACATTTGTTTCAGGTTGCCTTATAAGGTGCACAGAATTCATCAACATCTGTCCTTAGACCCTCGCAGGAAAAGTCCCAAATAAACTACAAAATGAATGGGAAAAAATTGAAGAAACCTAAAAAATATAATACATTCACATCATATTCAGTCCAAATGTTAGAAAATATTTTGTGTTATTTCTTGAAAAGAAAATGGATCAAAGTGCATGGGAACAATCGTCCAGATGTCGCCTGGCCTTATGAACTAAGACCTTTGAGTGTCCGTGTGTGCGGTTGTCTTCTGCTTATGTCTGTGTTGACACTACACACACGTTTGCGTAAGATTTGTATGTCTGTGTCACTTGTTGACTCCCTTTTTTTCAACTGAAACTCTATGCAAAGTGCATTTTGCTTCACAAACAGGATATGCACCTGGTGGTGTTAATCTGTGTGTGTGTGTGTGTGTGTGTGGTGTGTGTGTGTGTGTGTGTGTGTGTGTGTGTGTGTGTGTGTGTGGTGTGTGTGTGTGTGTGTGTGTGTGTGTGTGTGTGTGTGTGCTGTGGTGTGTGTGTGTGTGTGTGTGTGTGTGTGTGTGTGTGTGTGTGTGTATGTGGTGTGTGTGTGTGTGTGTGTGTGTGTGTGTGTGTGTGTGTGTGTGTGTGTGTGTGTGTGTGTGTGTGTGGTGTGTGTGTGTGTGTGTGTGTGTGTGTGTGTGTGTGTGTGTGTGTGTGTGTGTGTGTGTGGTGTGTGTGTGTGTGTGTGTGTGTGTGTGTGTGTGTGTGTGTGTGTGTGTGTGTGTGTGTGTGTGTGTGTGTGTGTGTGTGTGTGTGTGTGTGTGTGTGTGTGTGTGTGTGTGTGTGTGTGTGTGTGTGTGTGTGTGTGTGTGTGTGTGTGTGTATTTTGGTTTAGGAAACCTCCTGTATTATTCACGATTTGAGTTTTCTTTTTTATAGCTATACAAGCTGTTCATTTTATTTTCTTCTTTTAGTCGACCGCTAAAATATTCTCTGATAATTGGTTGTCACAAGTCTTGACACAGCTAGAAAATGACTGAACTCGTGCTCATTTCCACTTAATTGTGGCATGCCAGACACTTGCAACACATTTCAAATGTTAGCTGAAACTCTTAAAGACAGGTTTGAGAGTCAAAACACTTGACATGACGTAAAACGTTTCCAATCACACGCATGCATTCTGTGATGAACAACTCCCATGTTTGTACGCTTTTTGGCGACAGGAAGTCAACACTAGCTAATCCCTGACTGTGTAGTGTTTGTTTCAAAGTGTTGAACTCTTCTTAACCAGTGCTTATTTACACCACAGGTTAGGACTTTAAATAGGTGGTGGTGCTGCCTCAGGTGGATGTGAATGTTATTGAAATGGTGTGTTGGGGTGATGTATGATATAACACAGAAAAAAATTGAAACAAAAAACAGTTGATGGAAAACAGTTGTCATCACATCACATAACACACCACTCTACCTCCCACCCAACGACCCCTTTTCACAAACTGACTCACACAAACACACTCGCGTACATGTATTTTAAGTGCCGGTGCTTCCTTCTTTTTGCAATCTTAAAGAGGCTCTATTGTACTTTTTGGGGTTTTCTCTTTCCTGTAGTGTGTAATATAGGTTTTTGTGTATGTAAATAGTTTGCCAAGGCTAAAATCTCTAAAGCAAGTTCTTTGAGTAAAGTCAGTATTGGTTAAAGGTCTGGTAAAATGTGCGGCATACACACGTTTACTCTGCTTTGTGTTTTCCTGGGTGTGTGTGCGAGCTCTTTTGATACTCTTCTTTAGAAACGCAACCCAGCCTATCTTCTCATGCAGGCAACTGCACACACACACACACACAGGGTGAATATCACCGTGGTTACCACAGCCAAATGATAACATCGTTAGCGATCTAAAGAGCAGCAGATTACTTAACAAGCCCTACTGTCGGTATGGCAACACAGGCCTGTTTTGCCATCTGCCGTGTTTGTGTGTGTTAGGTTCAGAGTGAGTGGTTTTTAGTGTGTGTCTGCATCTGATGATATGTCCTGTCCGGCTCATTGTGTGAGTGTGTGTTCTGCGCTGAGCTGTTCCCATGTGTGTATGATCCATAGCGCAGGTTAATCCCATCCATATGATAAGCAGGTCCGGCTAATCCTCCTTCGCCATGAACTCAGCAGTTAGGAGGAATGTCGCAGTCATCGCTTCTTAAAGTTGTACCTTGATAATCTTCCGCTG